GTTATATGGTTTGAAATTATAAAATACTGGATGTAATTTTCTGGAAACTATGTTTGTTGGGTCACTAACAACTCAGCATCTAATTCTAATAAACATCATTCGTCACAGCAATTGACAATCTTACTGCTGAATATCCCATCAATACGCAACAAGACCGATGATTTATTCATTTTCTTAGAAAGCCAGAAGTTTTCTAAATTAGTCCTTTTGACTGAGCACTGGCTCAGTCAAGTAGTCGTTTCATATGCCAAGATACTCAATAATCTCCAAATTTAACCAAACAGACCACATTCATGGTGGAACTTTAATTTTGTTCAAAAAAGGCTAAGACGGATCATCCTTCATCAACATTGACAACTTCAACCTTTGAAGTTTGCATTATACCTATATTGTTCAGAAGTGTTTATAGTTCTCATTCATCAGACATAAAATTCTTCTCAAAACAGCTGAAATTATTACACTTGCAACTACCAAATATTCCAGTAGTTATTTTTACTGGCGATCTTAATATCAATTTTGAAGATTTCCACCTCCTCCTCACATCTTTTAATCTAACCATGCAGATAATCTGTCCCACTCGTACCTCTCAATACTCGCCTTCAAAGACTATTTGCAGTAATTTAGATCACACAAACAATAACTGCTCTGTTATCCCTTCTGAGCTATTAGATCATAAAGTTGAAGGTTTTACATCCAAATTTCTTTCAAAATTGTGAAGAAAGAGGTCATTTATTTAGCAAGCAGAACTATTATAGGTTTTATCAACGTTATGACTGAACGAACTGGGTTTTCCTCTTACATAATTTTCACCCCTTCAAGGTTGTTAAAAAAATTGAATGAATCATTTCCTCCACAAAAAACCCTGGTTGACAAACGGTATTGAAATCTCTACCAAGAATCTAATATCATTACATAACATAAGAACATTTATAGATCTTACCCAAACTTCTTTTATTAATCACTATTAATCACTATAATATAAGTCAATTTACAGAAGAACTTTGAAGCATATTGAGTAAATCTAATACAAATAAAGACTAGAAAGGGCAGAAAATAAATCAACGGAAAGCTGGTTCATCATCAATGATCTCAGAAAGGCCAGTAAAAATTCAGGTAAAGTTTGCTTATACCCCAATTCATTGAATGATTTCTATTGTGCCATAATGGACAATCTCACAGAGAATATATTATCAACTGTAAATTCTCTGTTTTCTTTCCAATGTTGACATATCCGAAAGTTTCTCCTTCTATGAAACAAACCTCAAGGAATTAATAGCAGTTATTAGAGATATCAAAAACAAAAATAGTAAGGGTATAGACGATATTTCTGTTATAATCTTTGAAAATCTATCTTAGTCAACTTAGATTGTTTTATCACAACTCATAAATTAGTCTTTTGAACCTGATGAGTTCCCATTGTTTCTAAAGATTTCTCGCATAATGCTTCTTTATAAGGGTGGACCTAACAATATCCCTTCCTACTACAGGCCTAGAGCCTTTATTCTTACCCTTTAAAAAATCATAGAAAAACTTGTCAAAATCAGAATCTTATCCTTTTGTAATGATAACAACACCCTTCTCATGATGCATGGTTTGGAACCTTTGGTGTACTAATGAACATTACTGGAGTTTTATCCCAACATCAAACTGTTATTTTGTACACCTCGACACGTGTTTCAATCACCAAGTGATCATCTTCAAGAATATAAGATGTATTCTTCTTCAGACAATAAAGTATTTTTGATTGGTTGATTCATTGATCATTTAATCGATCATATTTTCATGGTCAATCCCTAGAGCATTTGTTCGAGCACCATCAAACTATCTTTGCTAAATCATTTGAGTGCTTGATAATTCAGGTGCAAGATTTGACATGAACTGGCATATGTACATGCATACAAAGCAACTCAAAAAATAAAAGCTTTCAATGGGAAGTTAAAAGCCAATGAGAAAACTCAAAGTTTTTTATACTAAGTTTGTATCTTATTTTTAGATTTCAACATGTTATCCATAATTTATTTGGTAAGATGAATTTTGTGTATTTTTTTTTATTTTAGATGAGTCATTATAAGGTAAAAAAAGTTATTTTTTAAAATGAGTAAATAAAAATCGCTGATGCTAGTTTCCATTGTAATAGAGGAACATAATTTTGAAAGAGGATGAAGTATGTGTAGCAACAGAAAAGACAATATAAAACCCATTTCTTTAATTTTTGTGACATATTTGAATGTTTTGTTAGGCTGTCAGAGTATTCAAGCTTACATTGAAATCCAAATGAAAAATGTGTTTATTCAGGGTGGATTCATGCTTCAATTTCAATAAGCCATGAGTCATAATAACTTTCATCTTGTGAGAAGCTGATTTTTAATTTCCAACAGGAAAATTCATTTACGTGTCGTAAGTTTCCGTTCATAAGTAATCATATAATGATTTCGAAAACAGTGTTTTGAAACCAAACTGAAACAATATATGGATTATATAGACTCTTCGAATTATTTAATAGAAGTAAGTGAATTTAACAATCTTTTCATATACAAAAATGATTATTGTAACTATATGATTTCGCACTCACCCAAAACATCCAATGAACTTTGATGATTGGCAATTATAATACAAGCTTGATCTTTTTCTAGGTGTTCTTTACCTCTCACAATCCAACGCAATCCAATTAAAGTTGAAATCCAACGGCAAAAATCCGAAGCAATTCTACAGAAATAAAAAAGTAGAAAGATATTATAAAAATATGATTGAACTTACAGAAAATTTTTTACATTCCGAGGCCTTAAACAAAACACTGGTAACAGAATTACAGAATTGAATATGAAAATTGAGTACGCTAAGAAAAACTTAAGGTGGTATCTGAATACATGACTAGTTTCATATAAAAATGGCAATATCAGTAAACATATAGCTAAAATAATTTCTGGGTATGAACCAGTCATTGTCGCTTTTCACAAGGGTATACAACCGACCACTGCAACAACTAAATTGGCTCTAACTCGTTACATTACCATATAATATATTTATATACCACCACCCGAAAAAATCAATTTTCAAATTATTGTAAACAAATATCTTATCCTTATCATAGGTCAAACTAGTTGTCATGCGCATTACAATTTTTGTCACCTGTCACCATATCATAGAACACAACAGTATCGAAGAACAACAGCCTCTAAGCGGATCAAGTTTATTTTCAGTGATGTCTAATGTATCTGACCAATGGTAATCTACATGTTTCCAAATGAATATGCTTTAAACAATTTATGCCCGTATTCGCTGTTTTCTCTGTGAAGCGAAGCTTGCGTAATCCCACTTAAAACTCAAGCCAAGCTTAAATGTTTACGATATGCACCACAGAACAATAAACGTAGCTTATCTAAAGAAATGAACTTTAAATGTTCAAGCCAGTCTCGAATATACCTACACAGTAGGTTGAATGGACTGACGCCTTTCAGAAAACAACTACTCCCCTGGCTAATACCACGAAGGGCGTTGGATTATATCCGACAGGCGTCAGTGCAGGCGTCATAGCCCCCTGTATTGCAAAATAAGATGTAACTGACCACCTATAGAGAGAAATGTTCTACTCAGACTACCTGCATCTCGACCGATGGTCAGCTGTGCTGAACAAAAATAATACTATAAAACCACTTATAAATTTGCTATTTTACATGTGGTCATTTATATCTTATGTAATTGTATAAATGGTCTAACACCTATCAGAAAACAACTACTCCTCTGGCTAATACCACGAAGGGCGTTGGATTATATCCGACAGGCGTCAGTGCAGGAATCTTCACAGAAAAATTCCTGCATATGCAACTGGCAATACAACTGAAAGAGTCGACCTTCAATTTTGGAACGGGCATACTTGCGGACCGATTTCGAGCTCATTACCCACTCATCAGTGCAAGATAGTGGCCATCATCGACCTGAAGTCAATGATATTGTATAATTGAAAATCGGAATTCTTTCAAAGTATTTCATTCCTCTTCCTGAGTTAGAGCGAACAACAAAATGTCTCTCCATCTAGTGGACGAGGTACTAACCAACTGCTTATTCGAAATTTGCCCGATTCCTCTAAATAAGGAAGAAAAACTTTTTTATTAGTCAGTGGGCTATGCTTGAAGACTGGTAGTAAACAAATCTAAAGAAATGAACCTCAAATGTTCAAGCCAGTCTCGAATATACCTACACAGTAGGTTGAATGGACTGACGCCTTTCAGAAAACAACTACTCTCCTGGCTAATACCACGAAGGGCGTTGGATTATATCCGACAGGCGTCATAGCCCCCTGTATTGCAAAATAAGATCTAACTGACCACCTATAGAGAGAAATGTTCTACCCAGACTACCTGCATCTCGATCGATGGTCAGCTGTGCTGAACAAAAATAATACTATAAAACCACTTATAAATTTGCTATTTTACATGTGGTCATTTATATCTTATGTAATTGTATAAAAAAAAAGTTAAAACAATTGAATGTTTTTTCACAAATATTTTTCAAATTCTAAAGCATCTTCTATGAGCTCCAGTAAATATAGTGTTATCAACTTGGTCAGTCCGAATGTTCTATGAAAGGCCATATCATCCATTTCCTCGAAATAGTTGGGCCTCCTGAAAATTTTTTGTGGATATCCAAAATCAGTGATTTGTAAGATGCCATTATTGTCTTCCAGCATGATTTCATCTTGTAGTTCCATAATTCTGCAACAAATGATTTTAATTTCACAAGTCCGTTTACTAAAACATTTCAGCAAAACGACACGTGCATTATTTCCAGAACTTAAAAATAATAAGTGAGGTTATGATGTCTACATAAGCTTGCCTTTACATATAAAGCCACCGAATTTGGCCGCTTACATTTAAGCGTTTTTTGATATGGTGAATACAAAACTGAAGCGTTAAGCGAGCTTACCCCTTAAACTTCGCTTACTGGTATACGGCGAATACGGGCATCAGTGTTCACTGTTACATTTACTGTAGATATAATACAATTGTTTTTGAAGCGTCGCGTCGACTAGTATTATTTTACTTGTTCCAAATTCATAATCGGATACAGTTTCATAACTGAAATATTATTCTATATTACACAAATTATGCATCTTCTATGCCAAAGAAATTATCGTTTGAAATATAAACACTCAACGTAAACTACGGCGAATAACAATTATTGTTCATCAGTTACCTACAGATCGCATGATAGTGGCTGGTGGGCGCAAGATTCTGGCTGGTAGTCGATACATGTTATTTGTAAATATGTGAATCTATATATAACCAATTCGTTTATTAGATGAAATATGTTTTTTTTTAATAAATTCTATACAAAGTCGGATACATTCCGATACTAAAGGATAACTGTTATAAAAATGTATGTATATCTAAGTAACTTGTTATATCGAATTGAAAACAAAAATTGAATTGAAATTGAATTAAAAATTTCGATATTTGCATTAAATTCGGATTCGACTTTCCTATATTCGACATTTTCTGTATGATTAAAGCCATATTTAAATAGGCAATACATTGTAATGTATTAGTTAGTGTTTGAAATGAAATAAAAATATTTCTTCAGATAGACGAAGGACGACCTCTATTCGAATTATGTATAACTAAGTCGAAATCTATTCGAATGAAATGCGAATGAATAAAGAATACTGCACAAACAAGTAGAGTGACATTTGCCAATCTGACGACTTATCATAGTCATCTTCATTTTCATCAGGTTGGAAATTTTTTCCCTTACCCTTTCCACTGAGATTCGTTAGGTGGCGACATAAAGGTCAATGACCTCTATGCCGCTCTGTCCTTGTGTACCCCTTCCTGACTGGGGTTTTTGATGAACAAATTGTTCATTTTAACAGACGTCGTGAGGCTTTCACTCAACCGAGCAACGGGGCCTTCTGAATCGAGTGGGGTCGTCTATAGTGTAATCTACAGCTTCCCTAACTAATGGATTATCATGAGTTTCCGCTGACTCGAAAACTCTCTGATTCCTTGACTGAATGGACTGCCGTATAGTTAACAGCTTCAAATCTCTGCGAATGACTTCATTCCGCACGAACCATGGAGCATTCACCAGCATCCTGAGAAGTTTGTTCTGCAACCTTTCCAAAATGGAGGGGCTTGACGGGGCGGTTTATCCCCAAGCACCTGAAGCATACATGATGACAGGCTTGAACATCGTGTTGTATAGTAAAATCTTATTTTTAAGATTGCGTTTGCCATTTGATCTCCCTGCCTGAAATCGTGACCCTTGTGTCTGGAGAAACTTTGCGTCTCCCCAAGTCTATCACCTGAGTTTTTTCTGGATTTACTTGAATTTTCCAGTCAAGGTACCAGCGTTCGAGGTCGTCCAATACGCATTGCATGTAGACGACCGCCAACGCCCGACCCATGGAAGAAGCGAGGAGAGCCGTATCATCGGCGTAAAGGGAAACCTTCACGTGATCGAACCTCGGAAGGTCGCTCACGTAAAGGCTGTACAGTAGCGGAGACAGCACAGCTCCCTGAGACACTCCGATTTCTCTGACGGGAGACAGGGTTCCTTCAACTCGGACCTGAAGTGTTCTGCCTTTCAGAAAGGATCTAATCCACCGGACCAGATCCCGAGGCAGATCGAAATCGAGCATTTTGTGTAGCAGGCCTTCGTGTCAGACTCGGTCGGAGGCTTTCGAAATATCCAGGAGGACGAGATGGCCTGTCTTCCTGTTGTTCAGCTCTGAGATGGAATTTTTGACCAGTCTCAGGGCCTGCGCCTGCAGCTCGGTGAAGTGTGCCCTCCTGAAGCCGAATTATTCGTCAGGCAGAACATTTCGGTATTCAACTTCTTCTGTTAACCTTTGCAGCACAACACGTTCAGCCAACTTAGCCGTTGAGCATAACAGACTAATCGGACGATGATTCTGGGGAAACAGCGGATTCTGGCCCTGTTCCGGAATCATGCTTCCATCTTCGAGGGAAGTATCTGAGAGTGATTGAGCTGTTGATAATGTCCAGCAAGTATATGATGAAGTTCTCCGGGAGCTGCTTCAACAACCTGTTGTTGATTGAATCAAATCCCGGAGCCTTCTTGGGTTTGGAGGCCCTAATGTACCCCCTCAGTTCTTCCTTCGAAGCTGGACGGATCACGTCGTCATCTATTTCCCTAAGGATACGCCGAACCCGGTGTTCCAGCCGAATATCACGGTCAATATCATCATCCAGATCAACGTTAAGTTAAGCAACGTTAAGTTGGCAAAGTCCAACGTCTTCTCGGCGGGGGAGTAGCAGATGCCGCGCTGTCCGTGAAGAGGGGAGGGAGCGGTTTTCCTCTTCTCGAGCCTGTGGATGACTCTGGTGCAGGAAACCCACCTGCACAATGAACCTTTTGGTATTCCAAACTACTGTTTTTACCACAGAGAACGCATTGGACGTGCTGGAGGAGGAGTTGGCATTTTTGTCAAACGTAATCTTCCTCACGTATAATTCGGCATTGACTCAGATCAGTTACATGGAACGGAAGCTGTGGGCGTTGAGCTCCAACTGAGAAGAGGTCGTCATAGACTAATCTCAGTTTACAACCCTCCGCGGAATCATCTACTCCCAGAATCACTGGATGAACTGCTGATGTCGACAAATACCCCCACAATTGCTGCTGGTAACTTCAATCAGAAGTATATGAGCACAATCTGTGGAGCAGACTCACCAATGCGAATGGACGAGCGCCCCATGCGCATGCTGACAGGCATGAGTATCGAGTGATGGGTCCAGATGAGCCCACGTACTACCGTGGGGATTTAAGGCCTGACATGCTTGATATCGCACTGCTCAGGAACGTCTCCATGTACTGCGAAGTGTACACTTTATCGGAACTTGACTCAGATCTTGACTCGCTCGAATCTGGGAATGACGAGCCCTGGCGAGTCTCCAGGCTAGAGAATCCGCCGATAAACTCGTCTGAGTCGATTTCTCTCCCGAATAAGGTTCTTTATCCTGCGAGGAAACTCATTGTAGCTCCGCAGAGAATACTCTGTCCTGGTTGTGGCTGCGCGGAAAGCCTTGTTCACAGATAATTCGAAATCTGCCACTGCCGCGTCGAGACCGTTGCGAGTTTGAAGCGCCTCACGGTCTGTACGTGTCTCCACTAGGTGGGCCTTGA